CAATGTTCAGGTTTATATTTGAATTGATTAAAATTATGCATGAAAAGTAAAGGGAAAGAAAATGGCATAACATAAAGAGACTTGTTTCTTAAAATGGACACTTTTGTTTACAAAGTTGTTTAAAAAACAAAACGCGTTAGTAAATTTTCCAGAGCCTGGCCTGGTGGTACAAGCCTGTAATCTCAGCACTTGGGAGGCTGAGGCAGTTGTGAGTTCGAGACCAGCCTGGGCTACAAAGTGAGCTCAAGGTCAGCCTGAACTGCATAGCAAGATCCTGTCTCAAAAAAAAAGAAAACTTCCCAGAGACCATCTTAGGGCTTATGGTTGGATTTGATGGCTTCATAAGATGTTTACTTTTGATTCAGCTACATTCATTTGCATAGTCACAGTAACTTCTAGGTGTGGGGGGGTGACACTTTCTTTACCTGAGTATGTATAAGACACAATAGCCCACACAACTATTGGCCTTTGGACTTGGTCATTAGGCTGGATTTCTTGAGATGCCTATTATGACAAGCTTGACTGCTCATTGGAAATTCCTGTCAGAATTTCCTACAGAAATTATGATACAGTGCTGCTGTTAGGATTTTATTATTCATTAAAATTTGTCCAAGACTCTTGATAAAATAAATACATGACTTAAGGGAACAAAATGTTGTTTTCCAAATTTGAGCATGGTTTAGTTTTGAACAATAAGCACTGTAAATTATATGTTCATAGAACTTTACACATTTTTATCCTTTTAAAATAATCATGAAAGATTGTGGATATAGAATAGGCTGTTGTAAAATAGCAAAAGGAAAATTTAGATATCTTCTGGGTTAAGGCCTATTGAGGAATTTCTCTCCATTAAATATACTTGATGTATCATACTTTAAAAATTAGTAAATGAAAAATAAAAATAATTAAGTAAAAAATTAGTGTCCTTTTCTAGGTTGGTATTGTTACATTTGATCATTCTATTACTGCACTGGTAATACTCTAGCTGTATTGTGTTGGTTATCAGAGCCAGCTATGGCTCCAATCAATCGGGAAAAACTGAAAAAGATGAAATCTTCCATTTCTTTTATACACCTGGAGTGAATGGAATTAGTGTTTACTAGACCTGGTCTCCTTGTAAAAATTTCTCTCATTTGTTAGCTTCCAGTCTCTCATCTCCCAAAAGTATCTTCCTTACATCCTTAGAGTCTTCTTTATTTTCCTGCTATTGGCTTTTCTACTTCAAATATACTTATGAAAACTCCTAACTATTCTGATAACATCAAGGACACACATTTGCTTCAAACAAGTAACTTCTGTCCAAGCAGACAGACATCTTGGTTAGCAGGAGAGAAAAATCTTCTAAAGTTGAGAGTAAGCTTTGGCTTTTAAAGTCTTCTTAGTTCTTAATGTCTGGACCACTACTTTCAATGTTATTAGAGATCATCTGTAGCTGGGCGTGGCGGAGCACGCCTATAATCCCAGCACTCGGGAGCCTGAGGCAGGAGGACTGTTGGGAGTTCGAGACCAGCCCGGGCTACAAAGTGAGCTCAAGGATAACCTGAACTGCATAGCGAGATCCTGTCTCAAAAAGACAAAAACAAACAAACAAAATAGAGGTCATCTGTACAGAGAGGTGCTAGTCCCAAGTGAAAGTCTGAAGGTTAGTGAATTGTTAGGCCACAGGGATCTGACCACTGCTGGTATGGATTATTGTTCTCTGAGAATCAGCAGCTTGAAATTATTGGACTCTATAGATACCTTCTGCACAGCAAGGAAGCACTGTGTCTCAGGACAGGTAACATGGCTGCGGCCAGGGAGACAGACCCACAAGGACCCCGAGAATGTAGCAGACTGGTGAGCAAGACTATACTTAACGTCTTGTTTAAAATACTTTCTTTCAGTAGCAAAAGCCCGTGTTCTTCATCCTTGAACTTTGCCCTTTTCAAAGTAGGACAGGATGATACCTCTGGGAGGCTCATTATTCTCCCACCAGAGCGGGAGCGCAGCACTTGGGCTGGACGAGCACAGCTGAGTGCCTCTCGTGGGTACTGCTGGTGGTAATCACAGGCTCTGCGGGGCACAAGCCACGACCTGTATCCCAAGCTATACAGGGAAACTGGCTAACACAGCCCGGACTCTCCTAGCATTTGCTGAGTCTACACCTTATCCCACCCCTCTTTTGAACCTGCAGAAGTTTCACTCTTCTTTCTAGTCATCATCACCGTGTCAGCTTGGGGTAAGCACGGCTGACTGCACAGGCGTTACTCCACCTTTTCACTTCAGTGTGCCTGATACAGGTCACCAACATTTTACGTCAGCGTGACACTGTCAGTCGCCATATAAAAGTTTGTTTCTATGAAATGAACCTTTTTCTCTGTGATAGGAGCTCCTCCGTCTGCTTAGCCTCAACCATACCATCCCAAGCCTTTTTACACCTTCCTATATTCTTAGCACTTCCTATTTTCATATTCGTGAAGGGACATAATAGGCATCTCTGGCTAATTTTCCTTGACTTAAATGATTCCTAGGCAGGCAATTTTCTTCAAGATGAAGATGAGCTGACTTTCGTTCTTTTAAAATTCTAGCCTCTTTTCTCGGAAAGCGCTCACTGTGCTCAGAGGCCGCGTCTGTGAGAAAGCTGAATAACTGCCTACACAGGCAGTCTCTGAACAGCAGGCCTAGGGAACCCCGAGCGCCGCCCCACCCGGGCACGCAGGCCGACCCTCGCAGCCCTCCTCCGTCCGCCGCTCAGGGACAGCCGCGAACGTAAGGCCTCGGGGTCAGCGGCGGCCAGGCCGGGCGCAGCAGGTGAAGGTCCCGCTCCCGCCTCCGGAGCGCGGCGCCGGCGCCCCCGGGAGGCCCCAGCACTTGCGACATCAAGGCTGTCCCTCCCGCGGGGCCTGACGCGGAGACGGCGCGAGTCCCCGACGACGCGCAGCCTGCGTCCCCGGAACCGGGCTCGGGCGGCG